GTTAACTCTTCTGTTTTCCTCTTTGCTGTTTAACGCATATCTTACCGAAAAATTGCTTTTATCTTCGTTTTCGAATCGTTTGTTAAGCATATTTTCGAGTAGACTTTGTTCTTTCTAAGAATAAAACTGTCTGCTCAAACTAAGACTGGTCAGCGAAGAAGTTGGAACGACTGGAATTCCATTGCACTCTTACCAAAAGCCCCGAATGATTTGTAAAAATCGGAGTCTGTAACGGTCTTCACGAACGTTTTTAGATAAAGCTCAAAGTTTATTCTGCAGTGAATTAGATTCCAAGTCGTTAGTGAATGAACTTTGAAAGATAAAGAAAACTTTTCAATGTGAATTTAGCAAATGTCGTGAAACTTCATGGTTGTGTAGAAAAGAAGACGTTTACAATCTTGTGCGTCTTGTAGATACTTGAGACAATGAGGTAATTGTAGCAATTTGAATGCGTGTTTGTAGTTTTATTGTCTCTACTTTACCTTACTTAATAAGGAAAAAATAAACTCTACAGTTTCAAAACAAGTTATATCAGTTCTTTATTAAATTTATCTATACTCTCATGCCTAGCACACTTAAACTATTTCATTATTATTTAGCACTCATGCTTTTCAATTCAGAATTGTTAAAACGTTGAATTCGTTTGGCGCCAATAAGCCTAGTGCGTTTAAAATGGCTCAACAATATTCAACATTCAAATGGTACGTTTTAAATTGAAACGATTAGAAAAATCTGTCTTTTTTTGTTTTTGTTTTCAGATTGCACAGCTCACGTTTTGTTTCCCGGTTTTGCGAATGTATTCGGAAACATTCAAAAACAAATGTGAGAATAATACTATTTTATTTACAACTCCATTTGTGTGTAAAATGTTATTTGATTCATAGAATATGTTATTTTTTTAAGAAATACGTTCTTATAACTTTTCATTTTGGACGGCGCACAAATGGCTTGTAAATAAGATTTTTTGTTAATCATTAGTTTCTACGTTTCGCCATAAAACTCTAAATACTTTACATTAAATCTGACACATGCTTTTCGCTATGAACATGAAGGTTTTTGTTTCAGGTCAGATTTAGGCAAATAGATGGTATTTTAATTACCACATATAAATTCAGCAAATAAAGCATGATATTGAGATATTTCGTGATTTATAATCTATTCTTGTCGGAGGTTTATCTTACGCTCGCCTGAGGCGAGGACAGGATTACGTTCGATGCCGATTGTATCCGCCTCGCGGCGCATTTAACGGTTTTTACGCTATCTAACTCAAAACGTGATTGAAATTTTTGTATCCCCTTTTTTATTACTTTTCATCGAAAATTACATTTCAAACTCTCGTAAAATGCTTGACGCAAATCGATGTTCAAATGTTTTCACATTATTAATTCGCATGAAATGTAAAACACTTCACTGAATTTGAAATGAAACAAATTATAACTGTTTATGAAACGTTTTATTAAAATGAAACAACCGATAACAAACCTTAAAATTCACTATCTTACCTTCCAAAGCCCATTCTAGATTTTTTTCATCATCAATCCAGACTAGTTATCACGTTAACTACGGTACAGTTATATAAATTTTACTATTTATAATATTAAGTTTCAACATATGAAATACTTTCACGCATTTTAAATAATTTAAACCTAAATATCTCATCTAAAGAGCAAGAGAAACATTAGAGATAATAAATAAAGCAATTTGCTAATGACTACGCATACTTTGCATTTAGTTTCCTACGTCTCAAAGATTTTCAGCAATATGTTTTTTATATAGTTTACTAGAATAATTATGAAAATTGAAAAAAACGATATTTTTATCAATTGCAATGACGAGACAGCGCTTAATTCGACCTTTTGATAATTTACAAATAGCCGAGGACAAATAAAATGGCTAACTGTCATGAGAATGAAAACGCTGGATGGAGGTTGTTACGACTCTTAAGAGATGTAGAGTACCATTTTTACTAATGCTTCGGTTTTAAAATAGATTTATAATTATCCTAAGCGCCATTCAAAATGAAGATTCTTATTTTTGTTTTGTTAGCACTTCGAAAAACTCAAGGACAAATACAAGCATTTTTCTTGCTTCTTCTTCATAAATTGACTTAGTATACTACTATGCCTGACAAGCTGTGAACAACGCATCAAATTTAAAATGCACTCAAGTAGTGTCCGAGGGATCGACAACTTCTTTTCTTGAGTTACGAATTCAGCTGACTTCTTGTCCAGGGGTGGCTATTCATCTCGAACAATATAAGAAAAGGCGTAATCATGTCGGAGAGGAATCACGTTCAACGAGCCACAACGCCGGAATTCCGTTGGACCTGCCACCGTCACTATCGTTGTAGATAATTTCCTTTACAAAAAGCTACTGACTTTTGCTTACGTTTCGCTCTTGAAGTTGGGATAACAAGGAGCAGGGACCTGTCCTTTCTGCATTGAATCGATTAACGGATTACTTTACAAAAAACTTATCTAAATCATAATTTCTGCTTTCATATTCATCATGCATTTACAATAGAAAAGTAATTACGCTCTCGACTTAAGATTAAACATATAAAATAAGCCTGGAGTCGAAATCCATAATTCCAAAAAATATAAACTACCTACATAATATTACTATAAGCAGTACAAATTTATTTAATAAAGTATCTTTATAAAAAGGTATACTGGAAATATGTTACTTTTTGTGTAGTTCTTGAGATTTTTCTAGATTTTAGAAGAGAATGGCACAACGTTGTGATAATAGCTTCTCCCGGGCCGTAGGGAAATGGCCGCGGCCCAACAAATAATACGATAACGCCTTCATTACCCACACGTCGACCCTCTTCCAGACACGTCTTCGTCACCCCTTCAATCTTTTCGCGGATATTACACTGAAATTATGACAAAAGTGCTAGATCGAGGTCTGCATAATGAATCTCTATGATAAATGAGGCACTTCTACTTCCATTAATGTTGTTTTTTTGGTCAAGATTAAAAGGTAAAACTATGTTTTTATTAAATGTTGTTTGATAAATAATTGACTTTCTTACTGAAGATGATTCCTCTTTGACATGATCGGAATAGAATTGAATCGTTAACGTGTTAACAGCTATGTACCGATCAAATAATTATACAAGAGAATTAAGACAAATTGGCCATAAATCTACGCAAATTGTCTAATCACAGCTAATTAATTCATCAAGATCGTAGTGCAATTACTCATTACCTTGAAATTGGCTCTATATCATGTGATTTATGATATAACATTTTCGGACAACGTTGTTTTAACAATATTATGGTTGTTTGCGCCGTTTCTGCCACACCCTAACAGATGGCGCTGTAGCGAGACATTATTTTACTGTATCGCGATGTTTAGTCTCATGTCTCGCTACACATATACTTCCTGCGGTTCGCCGGTGTCTTTGGTGGTTGTCATTGTCATTGCGTTTGTTGGTTTGGTATTGTCGTTGCGTTGTAAAGATCTTTTGTCGTTTTGGTCGAGTCGTCCAATTTTTGGACAAGTTTACGTAGGAGACAAACAATGGTGTAAATGAAAATATACATCGCTGATTTATGAAATTAAAAAAATAAAATACTTTTATTAAACATTACTAACTAATCTGCATTTTATTATAATACTGGAATATCGCTCGGTAGCTTGTACATCATATTATAAAAAAAGTTGCCATAAAGCAAAAATAAGTACAAAAATGTAATTTACATTAACCACAGCAGAGTCAAATTTTCAATGGCAAGAATACTTCCACACCGTGTGATATAAACAAGGATAGTACACAAACAGGAGGGTAAATAATTTGTAGTCGAGCAAAGGGTTTTTCGTTCGCAATATAACAGGTACGTAGAACATGTGAAGTACCTACTTCAGTTCTCGTTATTTCCTTTGTTGCTTACACGGAAAAGGTGATTGTTCACTGCAAAAAGACGCATTCAATATTTACCCAAGACAGGATGCTATATCCACTTAACTGGTTTATAACATTCCTTAGAGTTTGTTTCTACTTATCCTTTTCAAAATCCAAAACTTAATACTCCAAACTCATGAATCACTGGGAGTTTTCGTCGCATTTTTGAGCTCCCATGGATGGTACTTATTTTAAATCATAATTAAAAACATAAATCAGTATTAGATTAACTAACATTTGAAATTTATTAATTTCATTGCATTTTCACTGAATGTACGACTCGACAACCTAACTTAACAAAATAGTATTTAGGTTACTTTTAGGTTATAAACATAAACTATTAATAATCACATCCAATAACCAAATAACGTACCTAAAACAACTCATTTTAAATATTTTAATTGATTCAATGAAATGTAATTAAATAGATTGCTTCGAGTAGAAATCAGTATATTTCGCAACTGTATTTTAAACTGAATACCTGTTATCCAAGCTGTATTCAGCTAAGGACTCAATAGGGAAGTTTTCATGTGTTGGTCTGAAACAGATAAGCTTTAAATTCTTAGGAGTACTTACTATATTCTTTACACGTATCTTCAAGAGAGACAACGAGATTAAAATAAAAATAAATTCGTTAGGCAGAAACTAATTTCCTAACATAACCGAAAGGAAACATTATTTTGTTTTCCGAACAACTTTGTTAACCTATCAACATTCTTTATCTACGTAAACTAAATACTTAAATTCGAGTTATTTATGTAAGCATATTGAGTTATATAATCTATAAATATAATAAAGTTGGAGTGTCTATTTGTAATATCAAAAGAAAAATTCCAGATTTCGGGAAGATGATGTATTTGCATTACTGAAATCGAATCAAAAAAAATTTTTGTGTCTGTCTGTCTGTTCACAAGCCGAGTTTGTTCCGGGTAATCTTCGAAACAGCTAGGCCGATTTCGACCGGACTTTAACTGAAGGCTAGCTAACATAGACAGGCATATTATAGGCTACTTTTTATCTTGATATTGCGTGGACGACTTCGCGGGAAACAGCTAGTTACAAATAAATCTCACCAATCATTTTTTTTCAGGTCTGCTTCGTCTCCAACAGCTGTACCAAAGCCTGCATCCCTCTAATGCAACATTCCGCATTACGAATGTAAAACGCATCTCCAATGCTACAGATGTTATAGAATTTCTTGGCGCACTGGAGAAGCTCGACCGTTGGACCAACAAATACGTTGTGCTCGACTCCTCTACACAAATAGCGAAAGAAGCACTGATTTTGCACGTACGTAGCGTGCAACTTGGCCGTAGGAACTACCATTACTTTTTAAGTGGCCTGGTGAGTATCCAAATTCCATTTAAGCTATCGAATGCGGTGGAAAGTCTAGTTTACTATTTAAATTAGCATCGTAAAATATTTATAGTCTCGTCCATGCCAATTACAGATATATCTCTATAAGAATTAAGATATAAATTTTCACAATCGAATCAGGTTACTCGACTCAAATCGTTTTTTATAGTTTTCTTGAATTTAAATTGAGTTGGACCAAAGTAGATACGTTTCCGTTCTTTTTATTAAACTTGGTATAAAAAAAAATATTGGTGGTTTTTTAAACAATTACTATTAATATATATTACAATTATATGATGTTTAAATAATTTATAAGTAACAATACTCACAAAATAATTAGTTTAATGTATACTTGACTTACAAATAATTCGGTAATAATTAAACAGTTTCCATTTTTGAATACGTTATTATAACTAAATGCACAGAATTTATCGTAAATTGCTCAACATGCAAAATACAATACAAACAATCATTTACGAGGCAGTGTTTAATCAAATTGGTTTAAAGGTTTTTTCGAAATGCCATACAATTAATTTTATTTAGTAATAATACTAATTACATGTTTTAAACAGGTTATGGATGATCGTTGGGAGAAAAAAATCACTGAATTCGGTGCCATAAATATTACAGGATTCCGTATCGTTGATTTTACTCGAAGATTTGTACGAAATTTTTCTGAAATGTGGAAAAGGGAAACTATCTCGGTAAGATATTTTACATTATATTAGATAAAGATTAATGACAATTACTAGGTTTGCAATACAAATAAGAAAATATGGTGATATTCCCATTAATATAGGCGATTGTTTCATTAACAATGTTGTCTAATATTTGTTGTATTCCATTCGGATATTGATAATATTATTTAAATATGCTTACGATATTTTTTATTTATTTTATGCTTACGATAAAGCTAAGACCATATTTGTAGAAGCTCGTTTAACCACTTGAAATAGATAAAAAAGGGTAATATTCAACGCTAAGAAAAAGTAGGTTTGTAGATCATTACAAATTTACGTGATAGTAATATAAACCGACGGTAAAAGCATAATTCCTAGAAGGAGCACGTACTACAATGATTATGAATTTGTAATTATGCATTCAGTCGGCGAACTGATTATATTGTCTTCTTTAAAAACAAACGTTTGGTTGTAATATTGCATCAAATGTTTTGTTTCTTGTTGAATATAAATTAGTAGAACAATGAAATATTTCTTGTTTGAATTTGACGATAAATAGAAATATTTTAAAGATATCCTAACGCCTTTCTTTAAATTATGTGCATATTTTATATAAACATTTTTTTTATTAACGGTATAAAATTTTAGACAACACAATACTATTGATTCGCTAACCAAAGAAGCAGTTCTAATACGCTATATTTTTAAAGACTATATCCGAAAGCATTAATATTTAGTTTGTTTTAATTATTCGGTTTCGATATATGTGTAAATTTGTACAGGCGCAAGCTGCTTTGATGTACGACGGAGTCCAAGTGCTTATTGATGCTATCTTTCGTTTGCTGCGAAAGAAACCAGATATTTTAAGAGGACTGACACGACGAAGTGCACGCAGTAGTTCCAACAAAACTCTGGACTGTTTCCCCAAGATTGGAACCGGGACTTACGAGATAGGAGACAAGATTTCAAGATTGATAAAAAAGGTAAGTTATAAGAGACATAGCTTGCGTATTTTAAGTATTGATCAAGGAAAACATAATGTCACAATTTGTTAAAGTTACGGTTGCCGTACACGGCTGAGTGAAAAGGCCATGATAGACTTCTTGTAGCTATCCGTGTACGGCAGACTATAAACTGTGGATTAAAAATAAATTCCTCGATCTCTACTCTTCAGGTTGATTAAATGCGAAAGACTATCTCAGTATATTGAACGCTAACGAACTCTTTGTTGTAATTTAAAATCCCTGTAGCACATGCGAGCGATTGTTGAACATTCAAATAAATATGCGGGCGATTGAACGTTATTCTCAGTATGCAACGTGCAAAGAGAGTGCTGACACTGATTGTGACGAAACATCGACCGTATTATAGAGGTCCATTTTGGAAGAGATACTACTTTCTAATATGCCATAGCTGACGAACATTTCAGGAAGCAAATTTTGATTGTGAAATTGTAAAAGCACATTTACGTCACAACATTAATAAGGGACACCAAAGATATTCTCGGCCATATTATACTGGCAGCCATCTTGGATATATTATTAAAGTAATGTATTCTACTATTCAAACCCTTTTCTATATTAACCACGTTAGAATATTTATATCAAATAATCTCATCGAACATTATGTTGCAAATAAATCAAACCAAAATTTATCTAAGACAGTGCAGTGGTCACTTGCCTGCAGGAGCTATGCGCTCGTTTATCCACTAAGAATTGCGATCTTGCAGAATTCGCCAGTAAACTTACATTAAAATACTGCCGGCAACAAAAGCCTTTCGATTTATATCGTGAATATTTATAGATCTTAGAATATAGACAACTGTGAACCATCGGCTAATGAAAAAAGTTTTAACGAGTAAAACAGGTTCCATACTTTACTATACGATTCCGTAAAGTCAAATTCTTCTTCTGAAGCCTAAATTGACCTTTGATTACTTAAAGCATTGGTCTTCTTATGCTCTTCTCCAGCCTTTAAAATAACTTATATAAACCTACTTTAATGAACAATAATTAATTAAGTAGATTATTTGAATACAAAAATAGTTCTGCTTAATTAAAATTCCCTTCGTGTTTCATCGATACAGAAAGAGTTTAAATAAGATTACGTCTGTTCATAAAATAAAAATAGCGCCTGTTGTGAATATTGTAAGGCGACGTCGGCAAAGCCAAAAAGCCGAGCAGAATAATGTCTGTCTTGTATATGAGAAGTGTCCTCTCCCTTTGAGTAAGCAAGCAAACGTTGTAAAGGGATGGTTCAAGTTTCAACGTTTAGTACCAACGTGACTAAGAAAGGTGATAGTTTTATCAAAACAAAATAAACTTTTAGAGTGTTATTTATCCCAGGAATAAGGTGTCAACAAATAACGCGAAAAACACAGAATTTTACTATATTTCATATGCTAAGTTTATTAGCTGTACTTGTGAATACTTTTTTATGTTTTATTATAAATGATAAAATGCAAATGGCTTATAAATTAGAGATTCTTTACACTTCTCTGCCATTGCAATTGAAGAAACTACATACACGGTCGGTTACGGTCTTTTAAACATACATAAACATAGTAATAAATATTATGGATAACACTTTAATAGTACTTTTCAAATATATTATTATATTTTACAAGTGTTACTATGACAGCGCGAGAGCTACATTGATTACGGTACCGTAGCATATGTAGCCGACACATGCTACGCGGCCGTAATCGTAGCTCACTTGCTACGTAATCACTGCGCCGCGTAGCCAGTAACACGGATTCACATCTTATCACCAGAAAACCACAGCCGTGGCAAATATTTTTTTATTGTTTAAAATAATATATTACGTACATATATAAAAAGCTTTGCCCCATAAAATCATACATTTACAAAGAAACTGTAATCACGTTAATTGGTTAAGGATACTGCTCCATCGTAACATACAATAACCGTGTTGTATAAAACGCCGCGCCGGCGGCCATACTAACAGATAATGAACAACCTCCAGTTTGTGCTAACGTACGATTTTAAATTAATTAATTCCATTGTGCGACATTGTTGGCTGAATTAAAAAAAAGTACATTCTCGTCCGACTTCTACTCTCCTATTTCATTTTCAAAAACTAATTTTAAAATCATAACGAGAATCAAAATTATTTGTTTATGCAAAATATCAAAAAGATATTGACTACCTTTTAAGAGTTGTGTATTTGACAGTAAATATATACTCAGAAACGGATTAAGTACATAACATAGTGACCAACATTAAAGGCCGACAATGCATCTGCGGTTCCCTTATCATTACGGATGTCGGATCAAATAACACTAGGCTGCTCGTTTGCCCCCTTCTTCATTAAAAAATAATAACATAAATTTTAATTAAAAAATATATATGAGCCATTGCAAAACATTTACACGTTAAAATCAATGTTATTAGATTTCTGTTAAAATCAATTTGCAGTCGGCAGTCAGTATAAGTTAGCGGATTCAAATTAAACGAAATTGTAGAGTACACAGGTGCTGAATATGAGACGTTCCTTTATATTGAGCGGGCGGCCGCGTCGTGGCAGAACCTCTGGCGATTAATGAGGTTTCGCTACCTGACGCCTAATTAGTATGAGCCATGTACCTACTAATTGCCAGTTTCGCGGAAAGCTGCAAATCCTTTTTATAACACACAACTGAATGTAACTGTTTACTCTTTGTGTTCAGTTCATTTATCACAATTTGCGCTTTATCAACTAACTCTCCAATTAATACGTATTTACAAGTTGATCTTTACCTGAGGTTGTATTGAAATGTATGTTTAAAATGTTATTTTTTCATAAGCACCTTATTTAATTTTTTTTATGGTTTATTGATGTATTATTCCTGAATATAAAATGAGTTCCTTATATAACTAAATCTTGATTTTATTATTATAAAATAATTATTTTGTTTCAAGTTTTCATTGTATTAAATGTTTACATACTTTCACTATTTATATTCTGTATTTGTTTATTATTCTGTATATTTATTGTATGGAAAAAGTAATTAAAGAAGAGACGATATAACGTCCATATATTATTATAATATTGTTTGCTTCAGACGGACTTAGAAGGCTTGACCGGCCCTCTCAGGTTTGACGAGAAAGGCACTCGATGCAATTTTAGCCTACAGGTAGTGGAAATGACGGTTAATAGGGACTTGGTGAAGGTATGAAATAAATTTAACATATATTCGATGTACAAAAGCTTTATATTTTACCGTACAAGTTTTCACCACAATAGAATTTTCAGAATTTTACCTATACACCGACGAATAGAAAACTTTTTATAACTATTCCAGTTTCTCATTTTAAAGTTTTACAACACTAACTTTAACAATAAACAAGTCTACCGGTGTTTCGACAAACCGTATGTAAAGAAGGTTACTGGCTTTATCTTAATAAAAATACCGCACGGTTTAACAATACAAAAGAAAAAAGATTATGACGTTGTTGAGTACCAACGTAGACGATTTGAGACACAGTATTGTACATTTTAAAAATCAATTCTTTGTTAACTGCTTTCACAATTTCGATTAGTAAATCGTTTGTAACAAATTTTAATTCATAATTACTTAACAGATCGGCACGTGGTACGACCACAAAGGCTTGATCACCAGAATCAAAAGACCAAAATACGCTGTCGGTAAATACAATCGTAACAAGACATACATTGTGTCTACAATTGAAGAACCTCCCTATGTGATTCGTGACCAAGAACCAGCTGTAACTTACCCATTTAGAGGCTTCTGTGTAGATCTAGCATTCTTGATCTTTCAAAAAATGGAAATTAACTGTAAGTTACTTTGAAATAATAACAACAAAATTATAATACTATATTAATTTGCTGTGAAATATTTTAATAGGGTAAAATATATTGAAATAAATGTAAAATTCAGAGTAAATGTTACATTTTCCTCATTACAATGCAAGGAATACATTTTTCAACTGGAAGGTTCACATCTAGTTGACTTTTTATCTGTTATAAATGTATTAAGAAAAATTATGTTTCATAGATGAACTGCGTACAGTTAAAGATGGTAAATACGGCAAAGAGAATACAAGACGGGCCGGTGGTTGGGACGGAATGGTCGGAGAACTTATAAGAAAGGTACGTGCCCACTCGTATATATCTAATTTCGTTGAGTGTTTTCAATGGAGCACAACACGCTCTATACATATCCTAACCTAATTCTTTTGTAAGTGAAAGTTCGGAAAAGATAGACTTTTGGGATACAAAAAAAAACATAATTTTATTCACTTGTACTTACAAAAACTATTGAATACTTCGCACGATTAAGTTTTTTAGCTACATCTTAAATCATATAGATTGAAAATAATCCAATAATGTGATTGATATGTGTTGCGGTTACCTAATAACCACATAACCCATTTAATAATGTTAGCGAATAAAAATTGCAGACACATTTTATCCGGTTTGAATTCTATTTTAACAAGAATTGTTACAAAACATCATTATGTTACTTCTCACTAATAATTTAAATGAGAAAGTTTATATGGATGGTTGGATGGATGGATGGATGTTTGTTAGAGTCTATAACCTAAAGAGCTAGACGGATTTAGATGAAATTTGGTACAGATGTAGGGGATAGTCTGGAAGAATACATAGGCTACTTACTATTTTTTAAATCCACGCGGACGAAGTTGCGAGCGAAAGCTATATTATAATGATGTCAAAACATTGTCGAATAATTTTTTTTTTATAGATATCATAAAAAGGCGTAAAAACATTTCGATTTAGTTAATACATGGTACGTACAAAATAATTCAGGGTGTTAAATATAGTAAATACCAAGTCATCCCGTACCCCACGTAAACGATTTCCCTTTTCGTAGTAGGTCAGAAGTCATAAATCTTGTGAGCCTTTATCGCAAATATCTACTTGTATTATATTTCGGACGATAAGATCATAAAAAATTATCACGTAGTTTTATTTTATTTCTTACTTCAACTTTATTACATTCAGTTAGAACGGCTATAGTATTTTCTTGAATAAAAAAAAATGTTTTAAAAAATTTTATACAGGAGGCAGATCTAGCGATTGCTCCACTAACGGTTACCCCTGAAAGAGAGGGGGTGGTTGACTTCAGTAAACCATTTCTATCATTCGATGCAAAACCAGAGAAACCTGATTTCGAGAACGCAAGCACAGTATTTACTTTTCTTCATCCGCTGTCGAAAGAGATATGGGTAAATATCAAAAATTTCATCAAATCAATGCTAAGAATATAACAGTAATAATTACTAACTTAATACATCTGATTAAATATACCTTTCGATAACAATAAAAAATATAACGTTATTGTTTGGTATAACAAAGACATGTTATTAATTTATTATTTAATTAAATTAAGTACCATCAATTAATTAATTAAATAGCTTGTGTAAAATTACAACATTATTGTATTATTAATGTTTGTTCTCTTTCCAGCTTTGCATATTATTCAGTATGTTCGCCGTAAGCATCGTACTGTTTTTTGTATCGAGATTCTCTCCATCCGAGTGGCGCCTCGTATCTGTTACAGAATCACAATCAAACGAACACAATGAAGTCGCTACGACCAAGGTATTTATTATAAAATCACATTTATATATTACATCGTATGATATGACTAATATAACTTTGGGTAATCCTTTTCCCACAACACATATTACATTTATTGATTCTAGACGACGGTTATAAACGAATTCAGTTTCTGGAATTCTATATGGTTCTCGATCGGATCCTTTATGCAACAAGGCAGTGATATTTCTCCGAGGTTAGTAAATGATTTTATATACTATTTTACAAACATACAGTTTTATTTACTGACTATTCGTTTGTTTGTCAAATAGAAGGGAATATGTGTACGATATTTTGTATTTTCGAATTCAATATCAGATAAAAGTTTTAGTGTAAAATATTATTTGCAGGTCTCTATCTGGGCGCATAGTTGGAGCGGTTTGGTGGTTTTTTACTTTGGTTGTGATATGTTCGTACACTGCTAATCTTGCGTCGTATTTAACATTGGCTCGTATATCTGATCCGACACAGCTATACATTAAAGTAACGTCTTGCCCTGAGGTAAATATTAGTAATGTATAATAATTAGTAGCCTTTTGTTGTGTGATTATTTTAAAACGTTACATCATTACGTTCGTAACTTACAATGTTTGTATTAAATTAAATAACAATACTAGATTTGTATGATTATGGTGTAACAATTTATACAATTAAATCTATACTATTATAATAAAGCGTAAATATACACTTTTTTGTTGCCTAAGATGTCAGCTATTACTGCATATTTCTGAATAATTCTTTTTTTAATTAAAAGCCCTACACTTGCGTCACGCTTTAGGCTATATATTTTAACGCCATTAAACTTAGGGGTTAAATATTTTGGATAAAAACCCTAATGTGGGAAAGAGACCATAAGTTGCTGCTGACATCAAGGACGTAAGGTTGTTATCATGTCATGTCATTTTGACATTTGTAATTGATAATTTGACAAATGTAATTAAATTAAATTAATAAACAATAAAACAAAATTTTCATAATTTCATGCGGATGAAGTCGCACGGGAACAGCTAGTAATAAATAAAAATATAGCGACGAATTAAGGCCCTCCTCTTTCCTTTCGGTTTAAAATACAATTTTGAAATATTTTAGGACCTTTTGTACGGACAACAACAACCTGAACTCATTGAACCACCAACAACAGAATCATCGGAAGTTGTCGATGAACATGGTTGGCTATTTTTCTTATTAGATCGTTCATCTTTGAGTTGGAAAAAAAACACTATAGAAAGACCGTGCGAGATGGTGGTTACCACAACCAAACCAGGACTGATAGACTTTGCCGTGGCTTTTCCAAAGGGATCCGAACTTAGGTTTGTATATAGTTTTGCTAATGAATACGCCTTGCGAATTACTAAGCGAAAATTATAATGCACTGCAATTGCGTTGTTATGCCAAGCGATTTAACTAATTCAATAAAGGCGTTATTTTTAACACCGAATGAAACAGTTAAGTACTTTTTAGGGATGGTGTCAATATCGTTTTACAAAAACTGAGAAAAGATGGCGATTTACAAATTCTGCTTCGTAAATGGTTCATTAAGACTGAATGTGAGGCGCATGAGCAGGTACGTTCATTAACGCTTAATAGATTTCTTAATAATTCAATCCTTAATAGCCATAAAAAATCTTAATTCATCCCTTAACATTACATGAATTAAAAATTCACTTCATCACATACTTACGAATTGTAACACTCTTTGAACGACCCTTTTCATTTTTCACTCAATATCGTTTATTTACAGTACACATAACAACAATTAATGATATTAATCTTCACATTTTAGAGTTTTAATGGACTTGAACTTACATTGGGACAAGTTGCCGGCTTATTTTACATTTTGATGGGTGGCTTGCTGCTGGCATTAGCTGTTGCACTATTTGAATTCTTCCAATACGGTCGGGTCCAAGCTGCGAAGGCTAACATACCACTGCGTGCAGCATTTAAAGCCAAATCGAGATTGCCAAACCTTCCCGAAATTAAAACCACCCAGCGACCTGCCCCGCAACGTGAACAAGAACGCATCGACTGGAATAGCGGACCGTACTCTGGTGTAAGCTGTTTTAATACTACATTACTTTATAAACTATCCAAAATTAGAATCAAATTAATTTATTATTTAACTTTCAGAATTTAAGGTCTATTGTACAAACAGTGCAGATTTAACTGCATACTTTATTTTTAAATTTAAACATAAATCAACTTAATTTTTATTTTTTATCTAATCGGGTAAAGTAACTTTAGTTCTTGGTTAGAACCTCATTTAATAAAAATATTTTTTGTACAAAAATTACGAAAACGTGAGATTTTCTACTATGAGGAGTTCTGGCAAGTTATCGGGGAAAACTAAAAAGATAACTTCGTGCTTGATTTCAGTACTATATTTTGATATACTTAGTTGGTGTTTATATTGGTTCTTTTGTCTTGTATAGTACTACACGCCGGCCAGCCACATTGCCCAGGAGGAGACCGCCCTGCGAGCCAGTTTTGCACAAGTCTGATGCTCAACCCGGGACGCGGGCACCGTCCGTCGTGCGTCCCACGCTCGCCAGTTGTCTGACTCCTTTGAACTCTACCAACTGTAAGTTCACTGGAGCGTACATCTCGGTTAGCGAACATCTATAACAAGCGCTAACAATCTTGAAGACAATTCCGTTTTAATGTTAGTGAAATATGCCATACGTGCCAAATATATATCGATGTACGGGCAATTTCATATCTACTCTTAACGGATAATTGTCGTAAGCGCTAAGGATACATTCCTTATGATATTCTATAGATAGTCATGGAATAATTAAATTATTTAATGTAGAATAATTGCGTATCATTGATTCGCCGATGCGATATTATCAATCTGTAACGGTTTAACTAATATTCACTATGTACGTAGTTGGGTTTCGTCGACCTACTTCAAATTGATGTTATTTGATAAGATATTAATCATTATAGAAGCTGCGAAATAGTTACTTCATGTTTGTTTTTCTTATAACGTTCGTAGGATCATTGTATATTTCTTACATCTTCGAAACCCTTTCATTAACTTTATAATATGTGACTAATAATGTTAGATTTCAGGCAGACTTTTAACTCATAATAATTACCACATTACCAAACATCTCTCGACAAATTTCTTTTGTATTATGCGAAATCTTAATATAGTAGATAAATATCAGGGTCGTGTATTATATAACGAGTTTAGTGAAAAAAAAAACTTTTTTCAATTAGACTAAATAAATAAAATTTCCGTAAATAAAAAAAATACACGGTAGGTAGCTTAAGACCTGGAAAAAATTGAAATCTGGATGACCCTAAATGATTACTATAACGTAGCGAATTTTTTTAGCTTTGTTTTGCTGTTCCTGAAATCTTACTGTTCAGATTCTATTCCAAATTTTAGTTGAAACACAGTGCATCAAAAAAAAATATTGAATAAATTATCAAACATTTTAAACCCGTATTCGTTTTGTTTTACTTATCTCGGTTTAATTCACATCTAGTATTCACGTACTGATATTGTTCTCACTTCCAATTGAAATAAATTTCGAGTACTCAGCCGACAACTGCAATATTTTAGTGTCGATGACAATTTTGTAAAAACGTTTTAGCTTCGATTGCACAGCAATCGTTTTGAATTATGCAGCAGGAATTATTTTAAGTTACAACAACCATTTGTTTATTGCTTTCAAACGCGTGCATTAACAAAAAGGATTAAAGCAGATTGGATGTCTAAAAATTTGTGTTATTGCCACCGTTTTATACTTTTTTAAACACGCCATAGCATTTAATGAAGTTTCTATATTTTGCAATATATCTTAATTCTACTAACGTTTCTAGAAACCTAAAAATAACCAAGTGTTCTTTCAAAATATGTACATTTTAAAAACACTGATAAAATTTGTGAGAATAACCAACTATAATCCTAAAACCTTTAGCATTACAGCTGTAAACAAGGAACTGCACACAAAATATTCAATTGAAAATAAACAGTATAATTTAAAAATTCGTATGAGCCTAATTGAAATAAGTTTTCCTAATAATATATTATTGTGGTATTGTTCTTTACTAAGACTATAATGCCAAAGGCAGTATGTAAGTGAATCATATCAATAAAATTAATAACTTAACTAAAGAAAACATAATTTACTTTCAATTCACGATTAGAATTAAACTATGTTTCTTTATCTTTTAAACTGCTTGTTAATTGATTGAGCTGCCGTCCTATAAAGCTTTCTATTGTAATAAATTAGAATAAAATATACATATTTCATTTGTTATTGTTATTTTGGTGTAACCGCGTTTACGTTTGACAGATTTTAATCACTTTAATTTTATTAATCAATTTTCTTCTAATTTTATCCATGACGTAATCTGGAGCTTTACGAGTATTGACCATTCAAAGTACTAAAGGTCTAAAATAGATAAAGTGCCAAAATTATATAAATAAATACGTGGGTGGTTTTGATTGCGATCAAAATAATATTAATTTGAATATAAAATTGTATGATGTACGGTTTAATCCGTCCATCAACGAAAGGCTGAATTCACTTTCGTATTTTCAAAAACAAAATGTGGACGTTAGCACTTCTGTGTATACTCAATCAGCATATATAATACCACCCGTTTTATCTCTTAATCGGATATTTCAGAAAACGATGAGCTAAATCGATAAAATTTCGAAAATATGTTTAAATTATTTTCACTCACGTCGAAAAATTCTCGCGAAAAATAATATATGTAACCGTGGACTTTCCACTGTCAACATTTATAAAATCTGTCTGCCATTCTGTCATGCCACTCATTTATAATAAAAACACAGATTAAAAATATTTTTCTGCTACTTTAGGCAGTAAAACCTATTGTAAGAGGGAAAAATTGCGACTGTTGTTTGTTTTTTTTAACAAATCAATTGGAAAAATATGAAAACGCTTGACATTAGTCATATATTATACTTCTGCTATACTTATTAACCACTCCTGTATTCAAACTGTTATTTTTTTTTTGTGTTCACTATAACTATAGATATTTAAAATACCTATTTATAATTAAGTTTAAAGTTATTCTTCAAATGACTGATTTACACAATCGTTTCGTTGAGTATAATATTTAAATGTAAGACATCGTATATTTTATATGTTAACTACTTAGTCGAGGTAAGATTTAATAATTCAAATAAAAAAACGTAGATTTTAATTAGTAAAAATAACGCAAGTCTGTTCCACGTTGCAATGGATTTTATGTCTTTTCCCTCTAGAACATAATACTCAATATTGTTCGTAGCATAATCGTGAATCAGGCTTGTATAAACAATTTCATTCCATAATAGATGTGTTTAATTAAATGTATTTACCAATTAAGATAAATGTATCCCAATGTCAAGGTAAATGTTTGTTAAATAAATGAAAAAATGTAAATCGTGCGTTTTATTTCACATTACAATGTAGATATTTAATAAATCATGTTTTCATTGTTTGTAATATCAAAAGAAAAAATCCCGATTTCTGGAATTTCTGGTGTTTTTCTTTTGTTTTTCAATGCAATTGTGTTGCTAACAAATCTTTCTGTCTGTCTGTCTGTCCGTAAGCCGCTTTTGTTCCGGGTAACGGCTGGGCCGATTTCGATGAGACTTTCAACAGAGGGTAGCTGACATGGATAGGCATATTATAGGCTACTTTTTTTAAATCCCTCGCTGTCAAAATGTCGTAACGGGTGGTCCAAATTCGCGCTAACGTAATTTGCGAGCGACAGCTCGTGTTATCATGTAACTAAGCTGTCGCTCGCGGCTTAATCCTCATAAAATACAACAAATTGATTTAAAAATCTACGCGTTATACCAGACTGTAATCATCTCCGTTCCAAATTTCATACAAATTCGTTAACTCGTTCCGGAGTTACGTGGTAACAAAGACCTATACATCCATCCATATACTTAATTATTAAGTAAAAAGTAGGGTAAACATTATCTTCTGGTTATCGATACACTGAGTTGGTATTGGTGAAGGAGGAAGGTTACTTAGTATGACTATAAGTCATTGCTTAATATCAATTCACACAGACGAACGAGTACTTTTTCTTCTTTTTTCTAAAGTTGTAGTAAGAAACTGAGAAAGCTGCGTTCTTCCAAGCAATAAAAGTACTCTTCGGTAAAATAGTGAATCGGTATTTACTAAGCGATTGCGCTTTAACAATAACTGAGATTGTTTTCAAGCGCTGGCTCCTGATAGCGAAAAAGATATTTTATTTATTCTCTCTATGATATCAACGAATAGTTTTAGCTATAAAAACTTTTGGTCTTAGGCCTTATATATAGTTTTTTTTATTAATATTTCCAATACATATTCTAACAAACCACCCGGAGATTTTCAACCTAAATAAGCTTTAATTAATATTTTTTGTAATATTATTTCGAAAAATTCAATCAAACAAATTCTTTCTCAGTTAAGAGTAGAGATGTTTATATTTTAATAATCAAAAAATAAGATTATTCGATATCCTGAAAAGCCTAAAACAGAAACCTTAAACTAACATGATTACTAATTTGAACTAAAAATACGAATAACACCACTGCAAAAACACCAAAAAAAGATAAATGAGATCATTCGGCAAATGTAACAGAAATATGCTGAAATCTTTTTTCGTCATTTGTTGGAAGGCGGAGAGCGAACCGCGCCGAGTGTCAGCGAGGATTTTTTTCCCAAGATGTCATAAATCAGATGGCGGCAGATGGTGTTGACCTACACAATTATTGCCATGTTTCTAGCTAAGAATTATTATTGCCTTTACTCTTGGGCTTTTCAAATAATAATTCTTTACAATTTTTGCTATCGATAGTCGCTTTGTGACCTGAACTTGAGACAAAGAGCCCGAGAAATATTTCTTAATAAAAAGTCCGTGCTCCACTCAAAACACATTCCGAAAATAAGTAAGATGTTATTTGCTTCAAACTTTCACGACTATCTACCTCGACTAGTCAGTGATAACTTAATAAGAAAAAAGATACTTTCATGGAGAACTTAGTAATTTGGAGTACATATTTCTAACGATAAAAAAATTTGAAGTTACAATTATTATGAAAATTCGAAGCGATATTTTTATACATTTATGAAACAGCACGAAGCATGGCTCAGAACTGCATTTACGATGCAAGGACAATTTTGTCGGATTTGCACTTATTGTTGAACGCCGATATCCCACTCAACCCCTTTATTCTAAAGTATAATGGAATTTATATCCTACTTGTATAACAAAATAACATCTTGTTCAAGAATATTGTTATTTGTTGCTATAATAATAAATAGGTAAAGAATTATTAACTGTTATGCTGGTTTCTGAAGTTTGCACTTATTTTCTCATACCTAGTGATTCATTAGTTTCATGTTTACTTAAGTTTCAACGGAGTAAAACTCAAGTTAAGTGGTTCAGAAACTCATATCATGAATTAATTGAACCAAAAATACCAACGAATGGTTAAACGTTGCTGGAAAACCGACCATTAATCACATACAAAATAGACGTATCGAAGGTGCAGTTGTTAAGCGAAAACATTAAATAGAGTCATAATTTTAAAATATTATCAGAAAAAGGAACATTCTAAAGATTTTCTACATAGTTTTTCCTACGAAATAAAAAGTTAGATGAAAAGATTAAAAAAAAAATAAACAGTTGAAAAGAGTCGGTTTGAAAGTAATAGTTCAGGTGATATAATGCGTGGCGTGGGATTTACGTAATATCACGTATAACGTAGTGGTTCTGGTTCTGTTTTTTTGCATTACTTTAATGTAGGTAACGCGTATACTGAGGTTAAGTGTTCCTGACCCGGTTATTTGTCAATTTACTGAAATCGGTGTTATATATGAATTCGTAAAGTAAACTTAAGGATCAACCTTAAATAATTAAAAGCAACATGTATTAACTTCTCTTGGCCTGATAGAAACAAAGAAAACATTCTATTATTATCTATCTTTTATATCTATACTAATAATATAAAGAGGAAAGATTTGTGTTTTTGTATATATTGGAATAACTCAAAAACTATTGGAGCGATTTGAATTTCTTTCACCATTAAAAAGCTACGTTGTCAGTAATATGGCCATGTCATTATTTTAAATTATACGCAGACGAAGCCACGAGCTACAGCTAGTCTAAACTAAGTTTGTATTTTTATTTCTCAACCACTGGACAGATTGTAATGAAATGGTAGGGTACTCTAAGAATCTTTGTTTCCGAATATATTACAACTTTCGAAGCTTTTGCTACATAGAAGAGATAGCGATTTTCTGTAAATAGTAGCATAATCAGATTTATTTCTGCTATAAGTTGATAAATCATTACGTGTTGTATCCCTAAAAATAAACTTCAATACATTTGTATCCGTGTTATCAGTTATTATAAATTAGACGACAAAC